ACAGTTGTAGATGAGAGCTTTGGAGGTATGGAGCTCTAGAAATTCCCTACAATCTCCCCCCTCTCTCTTTTTTTTGAAGATTTATTTATTTATTATGTACACAGTGTTCTGCCTGCATGCATGCCTGCAGGCCAGAAGAAGGCAACAGATCTCATTACAGATGGTTGTGAGCCACCATGTGGTTGCTGGGAATTGAACTCAGGACCGTTGGAAGCACAGGCAGTACTCTCAACCACTGAACCATCTCTCCAACCCAATTCTCCTCTCTTAAATTAATAAAAAGAAACCCATGGTTCTGCAACGGGACAGACGACTGTGCCTGTCTTAGGTTGCTCCCTTCAACCTACCAGGGGGGCCCATCATGGAACCACACATTCTGTCATGAGTGTTCTGTCTTAGGATTTCCTGAAGGCAAGGAAAACCGTACCCATCTCTGGCTGGAATCAGTCTCTGTAAAACAAATAAGGTTAATGGGGAATGGGCCTGGTCCAGCTCCAAATAGTTCCTGAATCAGAAAAAATCTACTGGGAGGTAGCACCTGAGCTCTTGCAGCCTCAAACATTCTCCTGTGGGAAGGAGAGGTATGAGAGAGTTAAAATGGCCTTTTAAAATCTGTGTGGGAATGCCCCCAGTGCCTCTGGTACAGACACAACTTAAGTTTGCTCTCTTATACATACTTCTATCCTAAGGCTTGTAAATTACATGTTACATTCCTGTTAGAATGAACTCTGACTTCTAATTTCTAATAGCATTTGTATAACATCTATAACAAGGTTACAGCCATTAACAATTTCATCATGAACATACATTAGGGTGAGTTACAATACAATCAAAAGACAATAAGATATTCTCACGATCTGTGGGGTGTAAACAATTTTACAATTCTAAACCATTTTCCTTTATTCCCTGCCTAGAGCTCGATGCCCTTTGAAACTTTTTATTTCTTGCTTAAAGTCCAAAGTTCTGAAATCTGTAAAGTTCTGAAATCAGGTTTGTAATATCACACATAGTCTTTGAATGTTAACTGAAAGGTCTTTTGTCCATGTCTCATTTAAGCATTGTGAAGGGGCTTCTGCAACTCACTCTGGTTTATACCAGTATCCAACTGTCCTAAATGGGTCCTTTTTCCCAATGGGAAAACTGGCAAAACAGTTTTGTGTGTCTAGATGTGGCAAGAAGGTAAGCTGTTTGTTGTCCAGTTGTTAGTCTGCTCCTGGATGAGCACTCACAGATTCAGAGAGGTGGATGTAGTCCATCTGTAGGGAAGCTGGGGTTCTGGAAAGCATCATGAAACTGGAACTGGGTGTCTCCCATCCTCCTCTGGCTGTAGGTCGGATGTCCTCAAGGTTCAAGAACAAGGGTTCAGTGTTTCACTTCAGCTGGTTCAGATGGTGGTCTCCTGTGGACCTTGGTCCAGTTTTTCTCTGTTCCATGCATCTCACCAACCATTCCAGTAGCCAGCGTGCCTTGTTCTCCTCCTGCGAGAAAATGCAGACATGTCCTCGGCCCCAGATAGTTATGGGGTCTGGTCCCCTCTATTGTCTGGTACATGGATCTCTGCATTTGACCTGAGCGGGATTTGATCGAGTTCCGTCATGCCAGAATCTGTCTGCAGCAGATTGCTCACTGGCATCCACATTTAAAAAGTTGAAGATAAACAGTGTGTGGTTTAACACATCATGTGGAGACTGGGGGGCATAGCTCCCCCCTTTTGATCTTAGAAGCTGTGTTTTTAAGGAGCTATGAGCATGTTCTAAAATTCCTTGTCCTGGAGGATCACAAGGAATATCTGTCTTTTGATCATTTTTCCAGTGAGTACAAAATAACTGAAATGCCTTATTATAATATCCATATCTATTGTCTATCTTTATAATTTCTGAGACTCCCATGTAAGCAAAACATCTTAAAACAGTGACTTATAACATCAAGAAATCTGAATATGTGTCATTGCCATGTGTATGTATTTTTAACTTGCCAAACTCTTTAATGAGTAACATCCATTTGTCATAGATGCTTAGGGAGTAGGCCTTGAGGATTCACCCCTAAGTTAGCCATAGGTAGATACTGTGGACACACTAAATTGTTTGATGATGTGATGAGCAGTCTCTCTGGTTAAGCCAAATTGCTTTCTTAGACTTTTGCTATTTTGAGGATGAAAGTTGCCAGAGCTTTCTCTATTGACTTGTTTCATTTGGCTAGTAATCAGGGAAAGGCCTTATTTAATAGGTTCCCAGTGTGACCCATAAACCATGGCAATTCTCTTAGGTGAATAACATTTTGAATATGCTCAAATAATATTCTAACCTGACTATTACTGGATCCTATATATGGAACTGTCTCTATTACCTGAAGAGCCTTAAAGACACAGTGACTGTTAGTATACAAATTAAATGAATTATTTACTAGGATCTGAAAGACCATTGCAACAGCTCGAAATTGAGCTAAAGCTAGAGCTGTCTGCTCCACCTATTCCTTTCCATCAATAACATATGCAAGTGGCTCTCCCATTAATACCATCAGTAAAAACTAACATAGAATTTTTTGTAGGACTGCTCTTTACAATTTTGGGGAATATAAGGATGTATCAGAGTAAATTGTAACAGCCTATAAGCTGCAAACTGATTATCAATATTTCTTGAAAAGAGAGCATAGGCAATTGCCCATGAATCACTGTTCTGAAAGAGTCAACCTGTTGCTTGGAATAAGGAACATGCATCATACTTGGTTCTCTCTTAAAATACCTCCTAGAATCTACATGGCATTTCTGCATCATGCAGCCTACTGCTTTAAAATGAGGGTTTAATACTTTGGCTGGTGAGACAGGTAGGTGTAACCACCGTAATGATCCCTCCTGTCATAGAACAGAAATCAGACTATACTTATGTGGGGAGCACATAAGCTTCCAATTGTTTTGCATAGTCAATATAACATATCTGTTGATGCTGAATCGCCTCCTCTAATCATAGAAGGACTTGTTTACCTTCTTAGTTAGCTGTCTGGGTAAATTGGGATCACTATCTCCTTATAGAATCTTATTTAAAGGTTTTAAATCATCATTAGATGCCCTAAAAAAGGAACTCAACCATTGAATATTTTTTAACAACTTCTAACAAAAAAATCACTCAAAGATTGTAAACTGTCCTTTCTAATTGTTATCTGTTAAGCCTTAATTTCTTTAGAATACAACATATGTCCCAAACAATTTTTGAGATTTACTTAAAGTTTCTGAGCAGCCTTTTCTAATCCAACCTTCCAAGCTGATAAGCTGATAAGACCTCATTAGTATTTTAGCTGACCTGGCCTAATTTGCATTTTCACAGACACACTCAGGTTGTGAATCTAACACAGTGGCTGTTACCTGAGGCTTCTTCTCAAAATCCCTTTAAAATCACATATCAACTTTTACTTTCTAGATTTTCCTTTTTTAGCCATAAAAATTTAGGAGGATCTGTATCCTCTCCTCTGCCAAATTTTACAGAATCATCCACAGATTCTTCATGCCCCTAAGCTAACGCTATAGGCTTCTGCTATCTTTTTCATTGACTATCTCCTAGAGCTCAAATAATTAATTTTTCCTGTTAAGACATTGACTGACTGGATGCTCTTTTTGACTATATTTAAAGTGATTTTGGTAGTTTTTTTTAAAACCATATCCAAGGGAATGTAAGTATCTCTTTAATCATATCCAAGGCAATTTAGACACTCAAAAGTTCACCATCATATCATGCATCCAGGTGTGGCCACACTGAACATTCATAACTTGCATACGTCTCATATTTCTCCTTTTGCACATGATTTTTTTAAATTCTAAAATACATTATTTTTGATTTATCTGACAAAGGAAACATTTTACGTTTCATTGAAAAGACTTATATTTGTATCATTTGAATGAAGCATTAAGATCTTCCTTTTTGCTATTTTTTGAAAAATAGCATTATTAAATATGTATAAATGTGATTGCCTTCTTAGATTCATGGTGGTTGTTTTGTTTTCTACTGATGCAACAAAATTGTGTCTCATTAAACATTGGTTTAATGTAAAGTTAAGAGATGTCTAGGGTATTTTTTGGTGACTATTTTTAAGGTACATCTGAAAATTATAAAAACTTCAAGATGAAGGTTGTTTAAATTACCTAGTGAGGACTTTCTAAAGATGAAAACATTAACTAAGGTGATGCTAGGGAAGTCTTTTGCTTTGTTTAAACACTTGTTATTAGAAATGTTTTCATGTAGAAATGCTCACATGTATTTACCAGTTTGGTGTGACTGTGAATTGTGGTCAGTGAGAGCACTAAACTTGGGGTACTGTGGCTGCCTGGAGAATTGATAGTGGGACACTGTGGCCAGCAAGAGCACTAATCGTGGGGTACTGTGGTTGGCTGGAGCATTAATTGTGGGATACCGTGGTCAGCAAGAGCACTAATCGTGGGGTACTGTGGTTGGCTGGAGCATATCAGCCCTGTTTCAGTTGAATTGGTAAATCACCGTCAAAAACAACTTCAGGAAGAAAGTTTATGTTGGCTTACAGTTCCAGAGGGTTCCAGAGGCTTCCAGGCAGCCAGGGTCTTTAGTGGTAGGGAAAAGGCAGGCATGGCATGCAGGCGGAAGCGGGAAGCTGGCTGATTAAATTTTCATATATACACGGGAGGGGTCAGCTAGAGGAGGGGGAGAGGTAGAGGGAATGAGAAACAGGAAGAAGGTCAAGGTTATAACTGTCACCTCCCCTATATAATTCCTTCAGCAAGGCTGCACCTCCTAAAGGTTCCATGACCTCAGACAGCACTACAACTGGGATCAAGTGTTCATATGCATGAGCCTATGGGGGACACATTTGTTCAAATTACCAGATAACGATATGTTTGGTTTCTGCATTTCTGTAGCTCTAGGATTTTGGTACCATTTTCCATGCTGCTTTTGGATGTCTTAGTAGTTCTATATGGCAAACGCAGTGACGGACTCGGCCACACAGACTTAACATATGTCCTTGTTTCCCAGGGCTACAATCTCCCAGCTGTATGGCCTTTATAATGCCTAATGCATACAAAACAGATTGTGTTAGGCGCCTGATAGTATTAACATTTTTCTTTCAGATTATCTGCAATGCTGGAATGAAGTAACTCAAGATGAGCAAGCTAAAAGTGGTAGGAGAGAAAAGGTACCCAGCCTTGATCTGCGTGAATATTGATCTGCGTGAATATTGATCTGCGTGAATATTGATCTGCGTGATGTGCGTGTGGACAGTATGCAGCGCAGTTGGTGGGACTGATTGAATGTGGATGCTGCAGAGGGGCATGCTGTGCACTTTTTATTAACACTTTACTTCTCAGGGAAAGACTTAGCTAGTGTGTAGCCCAGTGGCTAAACCTGGCTCACTCCACTATGTCGAGTCAACTAGGAGTGGTTTTACATTTTTAAATAGTTTAAAGCATTGTACATTTTGCCATGTGAAGTGACAGGAAACTGAAGACTCAGTGCACATCGTTGACATTTTTACTGGGACACAGCCCTGCCTGTTAACTTACGTATTGTGGGTAGCTACATGGCCCATAACTCTAAAATAGATGTTTCCTAGCCCTTTACAGGAAAGTTTAAATATCCTGAGGTTAGAAAGCACATTATGTCATTTTTGTTCGTTTTGTTTTTTCCACTTAAAAGTCAGACAAGTCTTATTGATTTTAGATTAGCTACACAGCCTTGAAACAAATGAACTCTGTAAAATTATTTTAGTATTAATATTGTATGGTATCAGTGGCTAAGTAGTACCTTGCTGAGAAAGTAAATGACATCCTGCTAACACTAATGATAATCAAGGCTTCTACTTTGCGGGCAATATTGTGGCTTATGTTTTCATGTATATGGCTTTGCTTTTATAGATACTATGTTATGCAGTGGAAAATGTACAACTTATTAGATAATGTTTATTTCTTAAATTGTTAGGTTTTCTAGTCATTTACCATAATAAATTGTATTATTTCACTAACTGTGTAGTAACTACAGGAAGGTGGTTAGAATCACCTTTTTATATTAGAAAGGAACCGTTCCCTCCCTTCCCTCCCTCCCTTCCTCCATCCCTCCTTTTTTCTTTCTTCACGAGCATATGCATGATATGTGTGTGAGGGCATGTGTGCCATATTGTACACGTGGAGATCAGAGGACAACTTTTGGGAGTCACTCATTTCCTTTATGTGGGTGGGTTGTTTTAGCCTAGTCAGCTACTATACATTTTTACTATATTAAAGCGATTTATTATTTCTATTAATACTAATTGCATTAGTTCCTGCATTTCCGTGGTCAAAAAACCTGACAGACAACTGGAAGTATTTATTTTGGCTCATGGTTTTAGAGGCTAAGTTCATGCCATTGGGCAGAATATCATGGTGTTTGGACCATAGAGTAGAGGAGTGAAGCGGTTAGACACACACCTGTGAAAACTTACTCGGTAGCATCTACCTGCTCCCGGTCTCCCATTTCCACAGTTTCCTAGAGTAGCAACTCTCCCTGGAGACCAGTCACCTAAGTCATAAGCTCATGGAAGCATTATGTATTCAAACTATAGCAATTTGCACACCGCTCGTGAGGGCCCAGTGCAGTGAGTAGGATTGTGATAGAGAAGGGGCAGGGCCTTCCTTCCGCTGCTGCTCAGGTTCAGTGAACCAGTCATTAAAAAGACCTGAAAACACAGTTGGTGTCCACACTGAGCATATGCAGACCTTTTTCTTGTCATCGTTTCCTAACTACAGACTGTAATAGATTCACGGGGACATACTGTGCTAGGTATTGTAAGTGACCTAGAGGTGACACAAGTGTGGATGGGTTTGCGTTAGGAAGCTGAGTGTGTGCAGATTTGGGTAGCTGTGAAGGTCCTAGAATGTCTGTACAGCATACTAAGATTGACAACTCAAGCATGTGTCCTGCACTGGCCTGGGTGGGGGAAACAATGACCTTAGGGGTTATTTTGAATTACTTTGTCTTTGAATGATGTCAGAACCACAACAGGTCCTGCAGGAAATGCACTTGTACTTTCCCTGTCTCAGAGGTTGTGGATGCTGCTTCCTATTTCATGATTTGTGTCACAACTGTGTCACGGGACTATGCATATATATGTTCATTATCATATGCATGTTTGTATGTGTTGAGTGTAGGCATGTATGTGCCACACTGCCCAGGTTAGAGGAGGCCGGTTCATTTCTTCTATATAATTGTTAAAAGTAATTCTGTTTTAGTATCTGTAAAAGCTAGAGAGGTTTCCTGTTCTTTCTGATAGTTGGTGTATTCTCTCTCTCTCCCTCTTTTCCTTTTCTTGAACAGTTTCACTGGAAGTTTATTTTTTATTGATTTTCTTAAAATAACAACCTTCTGGTTTCAGTTATTTGGAGATGCTTTCTGTCTTTTTTATTGTTCTTTTCTGCTTCATTTCTTGATCTTTGCTTACTCAGGTTAGTTTTTTTTTTAATAATTCATTTATTTTTATTTTATGTGCATTGATGTTTCACCCACCAACATGTATGTCTGTGTAAAGGTGTCAGGTCCCTTGAAACTGGAGTTAAAGACAGCTGTGAGCTATTCTGTGGACTCTGGGAATTGAAACCAGGCTCTCTGGGAAAACAGTAGTATTCTTTAACAGCTGAGCTATCTCTCGGCCCCTCATTGCTTTACTTTTAGTCTACTTTTTCTTCAAGGAAATATTCTTTTTATTCTGTTATTTTAAAATGTATTTTATTTTTGAAATAAATATAGTTCAATTACATAATTTTCCTCTTTCCATTCATCCCTCCAGTCCCTTCCATGTTCTCTCTCATATTTATAGCCTCTCTTTTTAATTGTTGACATATATTCCTAAATATAGCCTGCTTAGTTCATATAACACACATGCACGCGCGCGCACACACACACACGGACACACGGACACACAGACAGACAGACAGACAGACAGACAGACAGACAGACAGACACACACACACACACACACACACACACACACACACACACCTATACACACACACACACATTCTTAGGGCTGACCCCTTGGGATTGGATGACCAGCTGAGGGGGTCCTTCCAGGGGAAGGCTGTTTCTCCTATTCTCAGCCATCTTTAGGTGCCTGTAGTTCTTTGTCTAGGGTTGCATGCCTGTTGTATTATCCGTGCTCAGGTCTTCTTCAGGCAGCCATGTTGAAGAGCCCTCATGGGTGTTAGGTAGCTTCTCTGTACACCTCCTGTTGTGCTGGGGTCCTTTCACCTCCTAGTCCACAGTGCTCCCTGAGCCTTGGCTACCAGAGTTGTATTGGAGATGTATCAGTTGGGCTGGGCCACCTGTTCTCTGCATTTTGATCAGATGTGACTTTCTTTAATGGTCTCCATTTGTTGAAAAGTGAAGTTGTTTTGATGAGGGATCAGAGTGAAAGTTATCTGTGGGTACAAGGATAAGTATTTAGAATGTGGTTAGGAATTAAGCTGGTTTAGTAAAATGAGAATAGTAGGTTCTCCTCCAAGATCCACGACCTCACTAGCCCCAAGTGTTGGCTGGGTTTCCAATACCAGGCATGGTTTCTCTCATGTTGAAAGTACCGTAAGTCCAATGAGAGAGCTGTTAATTACTGCCAAAAGTGCCACATGGAACATGTAGGGTTATCCCGCCATACTGGTTGCTGTTGTGACTTCCAGGCATCATAACTGGGTGGGACTATTGGTTGCTTTCCTTTGTAGGATGCTTGTGTGACACCTTCTTGGTACCTTGAGAGCTAGACCTCAGGGAGGGACTTTCACTTCAGTTCTACCTCAGATCCTCTGGGCTCTGTGTCTAAAGTGCAGTGTGTCTTCACCAATAGGGACTTGTCTTCCACCTCTGGGACACAGCCAAGGTAACAGCAATAGCATGTTATATTTTGGGAGGTGTAAGTCTTTCCACCAAGCCACCTGAGTCCTGCTTCCATGTGGGCACTTTCCGCCAGGCCTCCCAAGTTCCGCCCGTCACCACGTTATGGTCCTAAGTAACACACTGAGACTTATATTAGGTACAAATGCTGCTTGGCCAATCCCTAGGATTTTTCATCTGGTAGCTCAGTCTTAAGTATCATCCATAATCATAAGACTTATCTTATGGAGGACGCCTTCTACTGGCATCCTCTTCTGGGGTCACATGGCAACTGTAGAGCAGAGAGCAGGAGGAAGAGAGAAAAAGGAATGACTTCCTTCTTGCCCTTGCTTATATATGAGTCTGCTCGCTATGTCACTTCCTGCCTGTATCACAAGACTTCCTTTTACTACATTTCTCAGAATCCTCCTTGACTCCTAGTCCTGCCTAACCTGCTTCTTCATTGGCCAACAGTACTTTATTCAACAACCAATAAAATAAACATATACACAGAAGGACGTTTCCCATCAGGGAGGCTCTTGAACTCCCTTGACTAACAACCTAAAAGGGGGCTTCTCATGCCTGGTATGGGGATTTTTTGTTAGATAGTTTATGTCAGCCCAGATGGGAAAGTGTTATTTAAGCTATATGTGTATGTACATAGACTTATATGTAATTTTAGATAAAATGTGTAGTAATACAATTCCCTATGGCTTTTTCAGACAGCATTACTGTTACTTTCCCTCATCCTGCCCTCTCTCGTCCTGGGTCGACTACCCCTCCATTCTGTAATTTAAGCCCTCCCTCTATTTTTTTTTTCATTTCTCTCTTCCAATCACTTATATTCTGCAACTCTTGAGTGCTCCCCTGATGGTCTCTTTATACTTCTTTGGTTTTGTGGTTGCTACAAGGTCTTTGTTAAAAACAGTGAGGTTATTTTGTTTAAAAAATTTGAGGATATTTATTAGAAAAAATAGATACATTTATCTAGATTTTACAGTGAGGGGCTGGGGTATTAATTATAGGCATTTATAGACAAAATAGCTCTTTTATTTGTTGTTTTTAAACATAGCCTCAAATATTCAAAGTCAGCCTTAGACTCACTGTTTGGCCGAGGGTGACCTTGAACCTCTAAGTCCTCCTGCCCCCACTTCACAGGCGCAGCCTGGGATTAGCAGTGTGTTCCAGCACACCTGGGTTTATGGGCTAGGGAGCGACGCTAGGGTCACAATTAGGCAAGCACTCCATCAGCTGAGCCACATGTCTAGCGTTGGAGTGACTCTTCAAAGAAATAAGGCAGGA